TTATATTTGCTCACTGCCCCATCTTGCGTCCTATATAAAGAAGCCATTAGCAATTTCCCGCGTTCGGATGCCTCTTCAGCAAGGGTTGCTTTAACATACACCATCCCCAAAGCCGACTCAAAATGGCTGTGCCTGAGCGGTTCTCTAATCTACGTCCACCGAATGATCTATAGGCAGTTTTTGTTCCAGCTCACCCAATATTTCCATAAGGCTTACTGCATGCAAAAGGAACTCGGTCCGGTTGTTTCTGCTGAGCATTATGCCAAGATTAGATCTCAGCTTGTACAGGCTGATGAAGAACATGCCAATTTCGAGATTGGCAAGATCCCCAGCGAAGTTCCAGAGCATGGTTTCTGGACCAGTCCTACGGTCTTGAGCAACGTACGTCCGATAGTCTCCTGGTACGCGAGGAGATATTTGGTCCTGTGGCCGGGCAGAGCTGTCCACTGTTTTCAAACGCCGCGAAGGCTGCCGCATGCAGTGCTTCATTGACTTCGACATCCCCAAACACCAGGAGGGCTACTGCCTCGGAGCTCGAGAGAAAAGCGCTTGTGAACGTCGGCCGCAGTGTCCTGGCAAATTTGAATCCCTGCTTTGCCCCTCCAGGGAACGGAAGTCCTTGGATGAAGATCTCGGGTATTCGGTATTGACGTAGCTTGCAGTGGGAGCAATCATGGGCATGAAGCCGCGCCACTGATAAAAGAAGCTTTTGGCGTCGAGGAACAGATACGCTGTGGATATTGGCGCGGGTGCCAGGCTAACGCAGATAGGCAGGAATATTAGCAAAATTCGGGCGACTCGGTAGTACAAATGCTTGGTGACTTACAATGGCAACAGAGAACCACCGAAGTGCTCAGTGCTCGCTATAAAATGACGAAACTGTTAATGACACGGTGCCATTTTGAACTAGGTGCTCTGAAATGTGACTAACCGGCTTCCAGTCGCCCTTGGATATTGCCCTAGGAAGCTCAGGTCAGTGTCCTGTACGGTTCGTATCTCATTGATCCGGGATACGCGGATGAAAGATAAAGGCTTCTCTGAGTCGTGGGTATGACATGGTGGCGAGGGAATATAGTAAAAGATATGAAATGAGGAAAGGTAAAAGGAAGAGAACAGAAAGAAGAGGGAGGGAATGGGAAATTCGGAAAATGGGAGAAGTTCCAACGAGCAGACCATAGATGTGGATGTCTATACTAACGCAAATCTCGCGCTCACGAATTCTTCTTTCTCAACCTGAAAGACCTGTTTACCCTTTATTGGTTTACCTATAAATAATCGAGCCTTATACAGACTCAGTTTATTACTGTCTTCATTTTACCTGAGATATAAAGTGAGCAATCTCTGAGGTTATCATGGAAGGCATAGTTACTCACTCCGGCTATGATGCCCGTAGCAGATCCTAGACCCTAGCTAGTACTATAAATCATCTTGTTCTCCGATTGAACAGAAAAGTGAGGTATATATGAATATAACCTTAGAGATATCTGGGTTCAGAAGCTGGGATATTTGAGTACGTACAGCCTTTGGTAGGATGAATTCTGAAGTCAGCATGGTAATGTAATTGGTAGATGTACCCGTGGACATATCCATGGATAGATGGAAACTACGTGCAAAAGCAAAAAGGAGTGATCTAGAAATTTTAACGATATAGTGCAAATACTACGCCGAGCGTCTCCTGCAAAAGATGTCTTTAGAGCAACTCATTTACAATTTCTTGGATACAAGACGCCATAGGAAGCCTTCCAATTGCCCATAGTCATGTGTCTCAAGGCCGGATCCATTCCTTGTATTGCTGGACTTGGGAGTTATATGGCTGTTTAGTGACGCTGGCAACTATCACGGCTCATTTCTGCGATCGAATTTCTTCACTTGCGTCTGAATCAATATTTTCGAGTTGTCCTTGCTGAGCATATCGACGATTTGACATTCACCTGATCGCTCTCGGAGGGGGACAGGAGACGCAGTCTTTTGCTTGCCGAACCACGCGTCGGGCTTTTGGGACGCGCCTTCGCATTTCTCGGTTTCCTCGCCGGCATTCCGTTTATTGATACATGTAGTTCAAGGATTGATTGTGGACAAAGAGAAGTTGAAATTTGAGCGTAACCGGTCTGATTGCCTCTGGGACTTGAGGCACCTGTAATCTCACTGCTAGGAGCACAGAGAGAGAGAGAGAGAGAGAGAAGAAGAAGTATTGATTCTCTACGGAAAAAACAGAAACTACATACATCATCCATAACCCACAACAACCTGTCCAAACCTTTTCCTCTTATCTACATGTAGCTCTGGCGGTACCTTCCAAGGTCCTCCAACAATCGCATTCGTCTTTCATCATTTGAACCATCTCGCCAAAGGTAAAGCTTTCGGGCTATAACTGGCGTTTGCGACGAGTCGAAAGGCTAACTAACACTGGTTCGTCTATAGGTTGAAACTTTCATCATCCACAAATTAGGGAACATATCATTTCAAGCTACCGGTCATGAGATATGAGATACACTCCCTTAATACTCCTACGTAACGGGGCTCCAAACACAAAAGGAGGAAATGGTGAACAACCCCCCTGGCGCTCCTTCCACCACCCGACCCCCAAAATCTATCGAGGCAGCCACACGCGAAGGTGTAGAGCAACTGATACAGAGAGCTAACTCCCGCGCAGCGATCTTACAGAAGTCTGAGGAACTCAACTTGCGCTCTTGTAGAGAGAGTAATGCAACAACTAGCAGTTGTGGGAAAGTCGAGAGGCGGAGGTATGTGTTTCGGTGGGTTTTTGGAGGATATCGCCGGCCACGGCATGCACTTTGCGAGTGGGGATGACCGGAGGGTGTCTTTCTGAGTGATATATCTGGAGTTCCGCACGGTGGTCAAGGTATTTTCCCTTGAAATATGGTCGTCGTTTCGAGAGGGAGAGCCAGTAGAGAGTCGTAAAGAGAAGAAAAGTCAGTGTTCATGGGCCTCTGAGGAGTGAAGAGGGAACGTGGTTGTGCTGAAGACCAGAGGGTTAGGTACTCCCTTGGATCAGTGGAACATGTGACTGAAATTATGATTTACTCCGTACGGAGTACTCCATATACGGTTAGGAATTAACCAAGTTGAATATGTGGGCTTTATATCAGCTCAATGTACCAGAAAATTATGAGATCGGTTATGAAGGGGGCTAATATCGACCACGTCCAATCGATCTAATGCAGTAGATGCACATGTAACACGTGCCATATTGACTCCACCTCCTCTAACACGGGTGTAAGGAGCCATTCCCTTGCTTACACAACATTTTGAGTATATTTCCTAGCAGAAAAGCTACTAACAATGCTAGAACATAACTATATGTTACTATTCAAAATTTGCCTCTCAGCAAGAAGATGGCATGAGACAATGTATGCCAAGACCATGCCCTTGTAGTCTCCGACCATTTGGAAAAAAGGGCCGAGGCCCGCTGATTCCCGACGCTCATCGGGTCCTCTGACTGGCGAGCTTGTTTCGTCCGAGTGGATACTCCGACCCCAGAAGTCCAGGATACCCACCGATTTTCATCTCTAGTGCATCCCCCAACGTCTTTCGTTGTGCGCTTAAAGATTTGGGCGTTTTTACCCGACAATTGGTTGGCAGACGGTCTCCTACAGATTCCCTTTCTAACGATACCAGTCCGCTCAGCTGCCAAGACATCACGGGACCCCGAGAAATGACTCGCTTGGGGAGTTCTCCGTACGGAGGGTATGGGTGGCTGAAATCGCTCTACGCCCTTGTGAGGCGTCTCTCATCTCCGTGGCCATCTCCTTTCCGGAACTGTCGCCTGTAGTAATTCTCAGTTCGGCCCGGACCTGTGGTATCAAAAATTCTCGTCTTCGGTCCAGCCTCCGTCAGAATGGCGTGCTGTCAAGCGATTTTAGATCGATTTGGTCTTTGTACTGGCGTTTATGCAAGCCAAATGTAACGCACGGGCAGTTCATTAGATCCGGTAGCATTTCCGGTGAGCTTTTCATGGGAGATTCGGGCCGAATTTGATGAAGCGCATTGATCGAGGGAATGGAATATTTCCACCATAATCTAAGGGGATACGGCACAGCTGCGGCTAACACCAGAAGTTTAGTCGACTATAAACAGTTTAGCGGATTGTGGGGGAAGCACCCCGGGGCCAGTGAAGGATCCAGCACGGAGAAGCCTCCGCGCGGACAGTGACCTCCGTGCGACGTTTCCAAGTTTTCCCCCGTAAGCCAAAGCAACCTAATATGGAAAGACTGAGGGCATCATGCGAAATGCCATTCTTGGGACACGCAACCTTGGCAGATGGCAAGAACATGTGAAATTGTCGAGCTGAATAGACAGCAGAACCCCAAGATAACACATTCCCCGCCAACACCTTCCCACATCGACACTCACATTAAGAGGCGCGTCGAGTAAATCAAGCGATATTACGAGGCCCATGTGAACATGTACCTAACATTGGTCTAGAACTAGTTACTTAGTTAACTATTGTACTCCATAGTAAGCATTTGGTCTTGGATTCTAGGCTTGCGAGGCTCATTTGCTCCTGCATGAGACTAGCCAGATACATTCAAAAAGGGACTAGCTACAACTGTTTCCCTAGTTTCGCTAACGGAACACAGGGCCGATCATCCAGGTATCAGACCCTAATTCCTTTCTATGTGAGAATCGAAATATGTCGACTATAGTGGGGCGGAATGGTATGATTGGAGCATGTCCAATTCCAATCCGGAGGCGGAGGTATTTGAAAAAGCCACCAACTAGAGGCGTCTATTACTAGTAAGAACAGGGAGGTCCGGGGTCACAAGCCAAGGAGTCTGGGGAACCGGAGACTCCACCCACTTTTTCCTAAAGAGGATCACAGTTATTTCTTAATTACTCGATGATCGGACATTCTCACATTATAAGAAGCTCACCCTGCTCCACTGTTCATGAAATTCCACGATTAGTCCCGCCAATCCCGTCTATCATCGACTGGGCCACCGAGATCGTCGATTCTAATACTCGCAGCATTATATATTATGGCGGACGACAAGAAGGCAGAAGAGGAGGTGCACGGCATCTCCACCTCCGTGGAAGACCCTGCTCGAGTTATCGCTGGCTACGGGGAGACCATCAAGCGTCACGGTGCAAAGACCAAGGAGGTCCAAAATGTCGGTAGTTCTCATCGTTAGTATACGGGCGAAATGCTGATCTATACCTCGGGAACAATACAGGCCGATCTTTTCGCTGCCATCGAAGAGACTAAGATCGAAAGATGGAGCAAAGAATCCCTACACTTGTACTGTAAGTTACGACCACTCAGCCAACGTAATAGATATTTGCTAGACATTAACATTTGGGGCGACCATTACAGTCTGTATCTTTGTCGCATTCTGCTGTGCCTGTGCCAACGGTTATGATGGTGTGTGCTTCCTGAGCCCTAAAAAATGGCATTGACTAACTTGAATAACCAAATATAGGATCTCTGATGGGATCTATCCTCGCTATGGAGCATTATCAAAATGTCTTTAAGACCGGAATGGATGGCCCCAAGGTCTCCGTGGTCACTTCGCTCTACACAGTGTATGCTTTCTCTCTACTCGACAGACATTATGGCAACTGATATGAAACGTTCCCAGTGGTTCCATTGTCTGTACTCCCCTCAGCGCCATCATTTCCGACAGGCTTGGTCGTCGCAAGTGTATGTTTGTTGGAGGATGGGTCATTATCATTGGGTCTATCATTATTACTAGTGGGATGACATTGGCGCAATTCGTTGTCGGTCGATTTGTCCTCGGTCTCGGCATTCAAATCATGGTCGTCTCCGCTCCTGCCTATGCTGTTGAAATTTCTCCGCCTCACTGGCGTGGTCGTGCTGTTGGTGAGTATCTGGATCTTGTTGGAAAGGAGAAAGTATGCATTACACCAGTTCTAATACTAGAACAGGCTTCTACAACTGTGGTTGGTTCGGTGGCTCCATCCCTGCCGCCGCTCTCACATACGGTACCAATTTCATCGACAACAACTACTCGTGGCGCATTCCCTTCATCTGCCAGTGCTTCGCCTGCATTATTGTCATTATATCTGTTTGGTTCATCCCCGAATCACCTCGTTGGCTTATCGCCAACGGCCGGAACGAAGAGGCAGAAGCATTCCTGGTCAAGTATCACGGCAATGGCGACCCCAACGCTCGATTGGTCCGTCTTGAGATTGAGGAAATGAAGGAAGGTATTCGAATTGATGGTATTGATAAGAGATGGTGGGATTGTAAGTTTTGCAATGTTGACACAATCAATACTTTTTGTCGCAATAACAACTGACCAAGGTTTCCAACTCGCTAGACCGACCATTCGTCCTGACAAAAAGCGGACGCTGGCGTTTCGCACAGGTGATCATGATTTCCGTCTTCGGGCAGTGGTCTGGAAATGGTCTCGGTTACTTCAACGCAACCATTTTCAAGGCTATTGGATACGAGGCCAGCTCAACCCAGTTGTTACTTAACCTCGTCAACTCTATCGTCTCAGCTGTGGGTGCATTGACCGCCGTGTACTTCACCGACAAGATGCGTCGTCGCCCTGTTCTTATCTTCGGTACTCTTGGTGAGTCTCGTTTCCACATCCCGGTTTCCCATGACCAGCCAGGCTAACCAACACATAGCATGCGCTGTCACCCTGGGTATCAATGCCGGTATCCTGCAGGAAGTCGCCAATACTGGTGCCATTGGCAAGACCAAGGGCAAGGCTGCTCTTGCCTTCTACTACCTTTTCAACGTGGTCTTCTCATTCACCTACACTCCCCTCCAAGGTGTGATTCCGGCCGAGGCTCTGGAGACGACTACTCGCTCCAAGGGTCTGGCCCTATCAGGCTTCATGGTCAGCAGCATTAGTTTTATCAGTCAGTTTGCTACGCCCATTGGTCTTGCCAACATTTCTACCAACTACTTCTGGATCTTCGTCGGCTGGGACGTTGTCGAGTCCGTTTTCTGGTACTTCTTCTGGTACGTATACCCTGATTCCGTTAAGAAACCTCTCACGTGTCAGGCTAACTCCTGCTACTACAGTGTCGAATCCCAAGGCCGAACTCTCGAACAGTTGGAGTGGGTTTACCAGCAGCCCAACCCCGTCAAGGCTTCCCTGAATGTGGACAAGATTGTTGTTCAAGAAGATGGTACCGTTACCGAGAAGCTTGAAGCTGATGCTTAAATAAAACTTCGTTCCTCGGAGTCTATTTGCATATCGCACGTGTGGGTTGGATATGGTGCGGTGGGAAAGGAAGTGTTCCACGAGGTTGGCTTGTATAAATATCCACTTCCAGCCTTGTGTTGGAAGGGGGACTTGGAAAGTTTTCAAATATGGGATGTTAATCTGTTTCTTGGGCAATATAATAAGATACGAAGGGATACTTGTCCGATATTCAACTCGTGCAATAAGTCTGGCGAAATCCTGGGCAAGCAAATATTCCAAGGTTTCTCTGGAATCTATTTAAGGAACCATTCCCTATTAGGAAGTTGCGGCACGTGGAGCTTGGTGGCTTCCAAGCTTTCGCTTTGCCAAGCTTTTAGAGAGATTGGAACGTCCGAGGTCGATGAAGCCGGTTATTAAGGTAGTCGCCGGTTGAGGAAGTTATAGCATGTGGCACTTGGTGGCACCGTGAGGGGAACACTTTTGCATATGCAGTACTGTCAGCATTTTGTAAGCCACCGATTTATCCATGGATGATACATTCCACATGGCAGCTACTAATAAGCTATAGGGGTTTATTACGGCGGCTACGGCGTACTCTAAATAGCCCCATAGAAACAAAGAAAAAAATGCTGGAAAGGATCTCAAAGAGGCAAAGGGAGATTCGACAAACTGCATATAAGCAACTAATGCTTCATGACGAACTCAGCGCACCGCTCCCCAACCATATAAATGGACGCCGAGATCGAAGCACCCCCACACCGGGGGAGCACACTTGCATCTGCAATTCGCAAGTTGCGCACCCCATGTACCTTCAGGCTCTGATCTACTACACCGTCCTCCTTCGTAAGACTCATCCGGCACGTGCCAGCAGGATCATAGCTCCCTGTCACCAGCCTCTTGATATACTCATCAATTTCCGTGTCAGTCACAGTTCTCCAAGCGTCCTTCTGTGGTGGCAACGCCTTCGTAAGCTTTCTCTTATCACTCTTGCTCTTTTTCTTGTCCATAAGACCATCTAAGTACTCTAACCCCATCCCCGGAGCCATCGTTAAGGGTGCCGGGTGTGGATACCCGACCTCCGGTCCCGCGAACTCGTCTGCCAACCGCATAGCGAACCGCACCGCCTTACGCAGCCGCGCGCTGTCGCGAGAGTCAACCAGCAATGGGAGTGTAATTTTCAACTGTGCTTTCGCGTCAGAGCTAGACGTGAGCTCGACGCTGCCTTTAGTGTGAGGCTGCACAAGAGCCGCGTACCATGTCATGCAGGGCACTCCGGGGACACCGTGCTCTATGAGCGTGCTGAGTGGGAGAATTAAGATCTCAAGATCAGTCACTTCCTTCTCGCTGTCTTCAGGAGGGGTCACTGTCATTGTTGCCTCGTTGAGCGTATCCGAGTGCAAAAACGCGGCGCCCCATTGACCGTTAGAGGCAAGCAGTCCAGTGCCGGAGAAGAGCCACAGCAAAAAGTGCCATAAGATAGCTACCGTCTGAATGATATGCAGTGTCTGCTTAAGTGGGAGCTCTGTCATAACTGGTACGAGGATGTGGGTGGTTAAATTCGCACCCACTGCGGGAAGATCATGCACCACGGGAATTTTATGAGCGGACAAATGGTCCTTGGGTCCGATGCCACTGCTCGCTATTAGTATCACGAAGTGAGGATATCTGGAAAGTGCGACCAACCTTTGCATTAGCAGCTGCGGCGTGCCGAAGACCCCGCTACAGACAATAACCTCCTGTTGAGCCTTGACCAAAGTGTCTGCACCGACTCCGGAATTAATCCATACGCCCGTAACCCTCGTTCCGTCATCCGCCAACTCGAGCTTCGTTCCTGTCACGCCTGTACACACCGTCAGTCGCCCCTCCCTTTTATTGACAACCGATGCATTCAGCCACGTCGTCAAGGCAGAGACCCTGTTCCCATCTGCATCGACCGAGACCTCGCTGCGGGTGTATCTCTGAGTGCCTCTCTTTCCCCCTCCGTCATCCAGTCCTACTCTCTCCATCGCTGCATCTACATACGGCATGGGTCCTAGATCGCCCGCCCCTTTGCGTTGAATTGCCTTCTCAACTCGCGCAAAAGCCGGCGCTACCTTCTCCCAGCTCCATTCGTCCAACCCAAGCTCACGGGCCCAGCCGTCGAATTCCGGACGGCCACCGGGACTCCATACCATGGAGTGAGCGCGACTAGTACCACCCAGCATTTCGCCAGCTAGAAGTTGCACATGTCGCCCGCGCAGATGGGCGTTGGGTTCGGCGTGGTAGCGGACGACCCCACTTTGCAGGATGCCAAGTAGTGGAATCCGTGAGAGAACCCCGGCGTTGACGCGACCCTTGTCCAATACTAGGACTGATGCGTTTGGGGATGCAGAAAGGCGGTGCGCAATTAGGCATCCAGCCGTACCGCCTAAGCAAAGGTCTTGGGGTCAGTTGAGTTGATGACTTTCAGGGAAGTGAGACGTACCACCGACAATGATGTAGTCGAATGTCTTTCCGGCTACATCACCCGCTGTCTTCTCCGGATACGTTGAAAAGGGCCACATTCTGTCTTGGATTGGCACCTCGAGCAAAGCTTTGGTTTTGTTTTGATGAGGTGTGGCTTGAGGGCGGTGATGCCAATCTCGTATCCCTGGATTACTGCCCGCTTTCCATTGTGTTAAGATCGAAGGAAATCCGGTTTATAACTTCACGGTCTTAATATACTTTGACTTCTGCCAGTGGTATCCATCTACTGTACATTGAATCTTGCGTAACAATTTTATACATTGACATGTGCCGAATTATTCGAGTCTCTCATCTTGTACACTCCATCAACCTCATTATTATTCTCCAGCATATTATCGGCGCTAGAATTGCCAGGGATACGTATCATCGACTTTTGTGCCAACCTCCGAGGTCTAGGCGTGGGCATAGAGTTTCCAGCATATGACGAACTCAACTCGTATGCGCTCCGTCCAGTTCCAGTCGTCCCTCCTCGAACTGATCCTATTAGGGATCTGATGCAAGGTATCGATGCCGTTATAATGACTACGTAGGCTTCGATGTATAGCCAGCGATCATAGTCGACGGTTGCTACAGTTGGATCATCGTGTGCGTATGCGAGGACTCGGGTTTGCACTGCTTTCATAACGGAGGCTGCCATTGCACTGGATTTGACAACTTGTTAGCTGGACATTTCTTGAAATAGGATCCGAATCAGCTCACAAAATGCCCAATCCAAGGAGTGTGACCAAGCCCAACTTGACCCTTAATTTCAGATTCAGACTCCAGAATACGTATGTTGAGAAAATTGCCAGATAAAGGTCTGTGGCCGAATTAAATGCTGTTGAACTTTATTAGTCTCAGTCATTTGTACAGGGCAATGAATGGAAGCTCGTACAGCCCTGATAGTACCCGTAGTATGCTTGAATGCGAACATCCCAGCATTTATCTCCTTGCTGAGTCCAGATAGCAGAACCATGTCCTGGACACTGGACAAATAGAATGATGATCAATGTCGCGTTAGTCAAGATCTGTAACCCAACTATAATCCACAGTATCACTCTGTGTGATCTTCTGGTGCCCAGTAGCTCAATGACAAAGAGAATGAAGGAAATGCGACCCAAAGTACCGCCAGAAACGCCGAATGTCTGTGTCAAATAGTCGAACATGATCACTTTGGGAACCGTTTTTGAGTCAAGGTCCCAAACATGGCGGCCAAACCCATGTTTGACGCACACCGTAATCAGAGCTGATCCGATTATAGTAAGACACTAGGTTCCAGGCAACAGTTCAGTTCTGATCTTTGAACTATAACGCAGACGACGTTGATAGACTAACCAAAGCCGAAACCATGAGAATGTCATCCCAGCCAAATTTCCTGATCCTTATTTTTGCAGTCACCCTCAAGCCGACGGTGAAAATGGCAATACCAGTGAGCGGCCAAATGTCTCTCAGGAGTCTTGGACCCCGGTCGAAGAGGGCGGCTCGAGGTGAGAGGGCCATATCAGTCGGTCTATAGAATAAAATTTCACAACGCAAGGGAGACAAAGGATACAAGACATATCCACGCGCCAGATACACGTTGATCGATTGAGTTCTAAATATTCCTAAGAACGATACATTTTATTTAGCCTTTTACCATATCTACGTTTCCAAAAAGTCTCATCGAAGATCTACACGGGGCGCACCGGCGCCGGGGGCATTGTGGACTTAGTTAGATCAACTCCAGGGGCTGCACGGAGTACTCCCTGGTACACTAGCATTAGGTAACCTTGGAAAGTATAGGAGACTGTCGGAGGTCTCCGCTAGAATTGCAGGCATATAGATAAAGATAAGATAATGGGCTGCGCCTATCAAATTTCGCCTATACCCAAAGCTTAGAATCTTGGAACAAGCCCTGCCAGGGCGTAGGGCGTTCTGCGATGATATAGGAAGAGTGTTAATTGATCGCGAAGAATCCGGTCAACGGGATATCTTCGGTGGGACATTCGGAATACCTTCGACGGGAATTGTCGGCGGGATATCTTGAGTCTCCGCCAAGCCCTGTTACGTGGATCAGATGCTGTGGGGTACAGATTTGCTGGAGCAATTTCGTTATCCGTGGGAAGACCCGTGGACGTGTTTTTATAGGTTCCAAGGTTAAACCCTTTGATGATAAAAGCCCTAGCGCAAGAGGCACAACAACAAGCTTGAATTATGCCCTCGACTCAGCCAGTACCCATAGGCTCTGTAGCCGGCTATGGAGAATAGATGTAAGATTGATTGGTAGGAAAAGCAAGTAACTCTCTGTCTAAGGCAAGTGATGCCTTCATGCCTCAGGTGTTAATATTTCCCAGGCTGCAACGGGGTATCATAGACGCGGCTAATGCACCCTAATTTGGACGCGGGGGATCTTCACAATATCTCCAAAGCCCTTTTCGGCGAGTTTAGCCAGACAATGCTAGATTCAATCCCTATTATAAAAAGTGGAACTTTAAGGTAAATGATACCTACAAAAACAAATTTAAATCGCACGTCCCCCAGAAAATGCAAGAAACTAAACCACTGCATCACAATCAACTTCACCTCAACCCAACATGGTTCAAATCGAGATCTCAATGCTACTCACAACTTTGGGCCTCATGAGCGCCGGTATCGGTTGCTCCGCCGCAACTGTCACGAACAGCCTGCTACTGGCCGAGGTTGCCCAGCAGCTATCCCTGCCAGCATCGACATGGTCAGCCAGCGGCACCCACGCAGCGAAGGGATACACCAGCGAATCGGCGGAAACATCATCTGTGGAGGGCTTGAAGCAGGACTGCGAGAATATCAACCTCAACAAAAAGTTGGCCGTCGACTTCCGCAGCGATGTTCTTGGTCCTGGTGTTACGGGTTTCTTCTACAAGTGCGAGAAGGTTAGCGAGGACACCAACAACTACTGGTTCACTATCAGTGCTGCCGACAAGACTCAAATCGACAAGCTTTGTGATCCTCACACTAGCTATCCCATAGTCTATGACCAGCAGCATGATACTTGGTTCATTGATGAGCCTTTCGGTTGTACTCAGCGAACCAATCCGACAGACTTTTTTTAAGTACACCAAAAAAGACATGCCCCGGTATGCTATTCATGAGTACGGTCATTGGTCACAATAGACTAACTACTTTCGTCAGAAAAACTGCTTGGTCACTTGGCTTGTGAGTCTTTTGAGGTCTGGAAACTGGATATAATCTCCCGTTGCTTTTGCTCCTAATAATACACTTGCCCTCTCGATATCAACTGTATAGACCGAATTCGGGCACCTATCTCTCTTGAACTGTTAACATTTAGAACTCGCACTCTTCGAAGCCGATCCTGTCGCGTTGTTGCTTTTTGTATTCCAAAATCCATTGCCAGAGCCGTCGCTCAGCTATGAATATCTGGCCTGTATCTCGGAGGCCAGCACATTTGTGCGGGTCATAGTTGAATCCCCAGTCTGAAATCATTGTCAAATGGCGAGCCAAAGACAGCTCGAAGGTCATTGGTTTGGTGAAAAGGTCGGTCTCTGTCTTCCGGATCTGAGGTTCCGACAAGTCCTCTTGTCTAATCTTTTTGTACAGGGTTCGATAATACGGTAGAACTCTTTGTGAGAAGAAATATGACTCGAGCTTCTGGTGCGATGGGTAGACTGATTCCCACATGGTACGAAAAAGGGCAATGTCGTCAGTAGAATCAAATGCGAGAAACCTTGTGAGACACCAAGCAAATTTGCTGTTTTTGACACACTCGATAGCTTTGGGGACAGACAAGCCCATTGCTGGGCTCTGCGCATCAGGTCCCGCTGCATCTTTGAAGCCATCTCTGAAACCAACGTAGAATGTATCATCAAGCCTGTGTCGCGATTGAGGGAACCCGGGAGGTGACAGAAGCAAGGGGAGGGGCACAGTTGTGGTGAATTCCCAGTCGATGATGCACGTAATATTGCATTGATCGTCGACAAATATGTTGCTCATAGTGAGATCTGGGTGGCAGAGTGCAAAGCTGACCGGATATGTGATTCCGGACCAGTTGCCTGAATATTGAGAGATCAAATAATTGAGCGCATGAGCAGCAATAACATAGTCAACTCTATTTGCAGCGCCGTCGACCTTTTGCCCAACAGTGACGAAGTCATTCCGAAGATCGCAGGCATCCCGCCACATATCCTTGTTGGGGTAGTCATTCCTAGAGGGTACCGGTGCAGCGAAGCAATGGTGCCCCAGCGGCAGCGTTTCGGCGTGCTTGATCAAAGCCGCTATGAGGCTGAGGTAGAATTCACTCTCGCTAATAAAAGGTCCACGAGGAATTCCTCCCAAGGACTGTCTGTTATGTCGTACATGGCCTTTTGATAGGCATTGTCCAATGACGAAATATCCATTTTCTTCAAATAGAGACCCAATTTGGGCAAATCGGACTTGGGCAAGTTTCCAAGTAATGTGGCCAAGTTGAGACATTACTTTGTTGACTTCGAGTGAATCCAGATGATCGTTGAAATTATTGCCCTTCCACATTGTTTCCAACGACTTGCCCTCCGCCTTGCTCATCAAAATGTATGGGATCCGGAGCGGGTTGTTCGGGTAGGCACTTCCGAAGATCAGCTCCATCATACGGGACTTATCTTTCAGTTGGCTTACCAATAGGAGTAAACATCAGGAACAGGTATGTCTGTGTAGACTTTGAGGTATTTGAGCGTGGCGGCTTCGCTTAGAAGGAGTTTGACAACGCTCTCGCCAGATAGCCCGGGGTGATTCTTCACTGGCGAGCGGAAAACCCATTCAACGCCATCTTCGAAGGAAACGAAAACAGCCCAGTTATAGCCGCCTCGTTTCGGACGCTGATTCAAGTCACATGTGCACGAAACACCCCGTCGCATCTCGCTCGCGAGGTGGCAGAGAGCGGCTACGTCGAACTCATCGTACTGAAAGAGCGGGAATGCTTCTTTTCCCATGTTATGAGCCATGATGCTTGAGGCGGGGGGGTCGCTCTGTTAGAGACAACTCCGCAAACCGCTGAATAGTGACAAAGCTTTCATGATGAGGCAGGAGTCGTAGTAGCAAGAAATCAAAAATGCGAAGGACGATGTTATTTGCAGAAAAGAAAGCACCGAGGGCGTCGTTGCCTCAGAACGATCAGATCTATACACGTGACCACCAGTTTAAGCGATGAGATATTCAAGTCGAATTTTCGGTACCATATGGTTGTTTGGGGTATTGATGGTTGAGGATCAAGATTGGACATGTTTAACCCTAGATTTCTCAAAGAGGCAACGAAAATCATTCATTCGATTGTGCAGAAAATCGACGTGGATGTGCACACCATACTCAATGGGGAATATCTCTCACTGGAACATGGAATAATCTAGAGCCTGGCCTACATAATTCTAGCTGTTGAAAGAGTAGTCCATAAAACATTAAACGAACTTGGAGGGGAAACAGGTGAGATTCAATCTTTATGCCAACAAAATAAAATGGACAGAAAAGGAAAAGATTGTAGAGTACAACACATTGCCAAAAAAGAGCAAGAAGTCAATACCTGGCGGGATATCTGCTCAATCAAAGAGTGTAAATAAGGAAGACATTCATTCTTGGCCGGTCCAGCCTTCAACCACATCGAGACCCCACTCAGCCTTGAGATCTGGGGTAAGTATACCAGATTTCTTGAGAATCGTCTCAGCAAGAGCCGGGACAGATTCACTGGTCAAAATCTCCAGAATCTGCAAATTAGCTTCCAACTCACGGGTGATCCAGTTTCTGATCTCAATGGCGACCAGCGAATCCAGACCATAAACAGTGATAGGCGCAGCAGGATCAAGGTCTTCCATCGGACGCATAAGAATGCTAGAGATCTTGTTGAGCACAGCAGTCCCAATGATGGCCTCAGCCCCTTCGCGGGCCTTCGATTGCCGGATAGCAAGTGCGGGGGAAATCTCGGTGCTGTTCTGCGCAGACTCGGCCAATTCACCCGCGCCAGCGAGAGTGGAGAGGCGCAACAGATGCGACAATTTGGTATCGTTTACCCAAAAGGGCTGTTCACTGACCGGTGTGGATTTGACGGCTTCAAATCCAACCACGCAGTGGCCCTCGCATGAAACATCGAACTCGTTGCGGATCGCTGCAGTAACAAGACCACGGATATCTGTTGCGTCGACGGACTCCGTGCCGAGTTGTTTGGAGATTGCTTCCCGCTTCTGGTCGTCGGAGAGGTATCCGACTCCGCGCACAATGGGCAGATCGATTGTTGAACAGCGCATCTTGGCTGTCTCGGGGTACTGGGCGAGCGCTGCCATGAATGTTCCACTGGCTGCATAGGGGGATTGGCCCATATTACCAACGAAACTAGCGGCGGAGGAGAGGTTAACGAAGAAATCCACGCTCCCACTAGTTGTTGTCAATGCCCGTTGAGCGTTCCAGATTCCGTGCACTCTGGGCATCATCACGGTCTGGTAGTCCGCGAAACTAAGCTTTTCAAAGAGGGTATCCTAATAGAGCGGTTAGCGAATACGTCCTTTGTCACTGGGTTAGGAGACTTACGCGGAGAACCATAGCACCGAACACAACACCACGAGCGGGAGGCATGCGAGCGAGGAGCGGAACAAGATTTTGCTGCACGCTCTGGCTATCCGCCACATCGCAGCGACAGACTTCCACATTGACACCTTGGCGAGTAAGATCCTGGATAGCGTGCTCCGCCGTTTCAGTCTTAACACCACTTCGAGAAACCAGGATAATGTTCTTGGCTCCCTTCTCTGGTAGCCAACTGGCAATGTCGAGACCGATGCCGCCGGTTCCCCCGACGATGATATATGAAGCGTCTGCGCGGAGAAGATGTTCGTCTCTTCTAGCGGGGTGGACCTGTGCGGTGAGTTAGCGATCATCTACTCTAAACACGATTCTCGTAGCTCTGAGCAGACGTACCTTGACCATGGAGTCATCCGTGACCTGGACGACCATTTTGCCGATCACCTGTCCACCCTGCAGCGCCCGGAATCCAATCACAACGTCTGAGATGGGAAGAGTGGTGACAAACCACCTTGACTGGGCGTTAGTCTCAACAAACAGCTTGAACGCATCACGCAGCAGCCGCTTCGTCAATTGCGGCCGCTTCTCTCTGACCATCCCCAAGTCAACAGATGCGAAAGAGATGTTCTTGTTGAAGTGAGCCATCTCCAATCGAGAGTTTGTCGTAATATCTCGCTTGCCCAGTTCAATGAAGCGACCAAACGGCGCAACACACTCGAATGTTGCTTGCAAAGCATCGCCGCTAAGCGAGTTAAGAGCAACATCCACACCCTGACCAGCAGTGGCGTGCTGAATACCTTGAGCAAATGATATGTCACGACTGAAGAAGATATTTTCTTCCTTGAGCTGGTAAGTTTCCATGAGGAAGTTTTTCTTCTCGAGACTGCCAACGGTTGCGAAAATATTAGCTCCGACGCTCTGGGCAATAATAATTGCGGCTTGTCCGACTCCTCCCGCCGCGGCGTGGATCAGGACGCTTTCATCTTTGGTCAGTCGCCCCAGGTCAATGAGAGAGTAGTAGGCAGTACAAAACACAGCTGGAATCGAAGCTGCGATCTCGAATGGCATATCGTCGGGAATTACCCAGGATCCAGACGCCGGACAGCGAGTGAAAGTCGACAGTGAACCTGGTGACATTGCACACACTCGATCTCCAATCTTGAAGTCGGACACCGCAGCTCCCACTTGAGTCACGACTCCACTACATTCCTGTCCAAGTCTATCGCCTTGAAGTTGGCCCATGGCCATTAGGACATCTCTGAAGTTGAGACCGGTGCTGTGGACCTGGATCTCAATGTGGTCTTCCAGTAGGGCTCCATTGCGGGAAACATCGTCTGTGAAGTAAAGCTCATCGAGGCCCCTCCCGTCTCCGGCAGCAAGTCGCAAAGCCCGATCTTGTTTGAAAGGCTGCATCTGAGGAGGCGCATCTGGCGCCTCTTGCTGGACACTGAGGTTCAATGCGTTGTTGTCAACCAAACGGGGCACACAGACATTGCCATTTCGGACAACAAATTCCCAGTCGTTCTGGGCCAGTTGCGATTTCTGACAGAAAATTCCGTTAAATACCTTGAGCATGTGGTCCACGGCCTCAGCGTCGGACATGGTTTCCCGCTCTCCCAGGTCAAGGGTGGCGAATTGGAGGCCGGTCTCTGATCTCACAGTGCGAGCCAGTCCGATTGCCATATTCGCACCAAGAGATTCCAGGTCAGATTTGCTGTGACGAACAACCCACAGTAGACCTCGGGCCCGACTCAGAAGACGCTGCAACGTCTCGAATTTTTCTTGAGTGAGGTGCGACAGGATCGAGCGATCCATTCCCCCAAGGAAAATACACCACTTCCCGGTGATATCAACCTCGTCAGAGTCCGTAGCAGTGATGGGCTCAACGCCAGTTATCTTCCTGAGACCAGATTCAAGGCTAAGGGATGATACGCTGCCGATCGAGTCACTGCCAAGAATCACAACATCGCCGGCGTTTGCTGGACCGGTTATTGGGGCATTAGCGGTGGATGTCACGAGACAACCAGATTGGAACGATGCTGCAGGGTACTCCTCAACACACAGGTCAACCCCAGAGAAGTCATTCTCCTTCATCACGTTGCTCCACCCTTCGACGGTGAGGAGGGGTCCATCCTTGCGGAATTTGTCATTGGCCAGCCACCACCCAGGAAGGAGTGCGAACGGGAAGTGTCGTGCCTTGGGCACGGTTTCCTCAATAAGTATGAGCTTGCCACCAGGCTTCAAAAGGCTTCGGATGTTTGCCATTGTCTGGCTGATGTCGGAAGTAGCATGCAGCACGTTGCAAGCAACCGCAACGTCATATGTGCCATTAGTGAAGCCTTGGCCAGTGGGATCAGCCGATACATCGAGTGTCTGGTATGTCATGAGGTGTCCCCAGCTTTCGAACTTTGTCTTGGCTTTTTCAAAGAAGCCGGGAGAGATGTCAGTGTAAGTGTAGTGGCCGAACCGAGGCGTAGATCCTCCTTCGCCTCCGCCCAGACTCTGCAAGATAGGCATGGTGGCACCACCTGTTCCAGCACCGATCTCAATGATGTTGAGTGTAGGGTTTTGATGTGCCATCTTGTCAATGCAGACAGAGGCATTGGCGTAAGCCTCACGAAGAGCGTCAAGGTCACTGTAGTGTTTTCCGATTCCGTCATCCTCCAGAAGTACAGTCAAGGCGTCTACCTTGCCCCTGAGGATTTGAGGAAGCAACTCTCCTACTCTGAATGTCAACTCACCTGCTCCATTGACTATTCGGTTCTGTTCAAGGACATCAAGGGGCAAGGCATCTTTGAAGCCCGCCTTTTGGCAAGTGTTCTGGGCCCAACGATAGAATTTCTGATGATGGGGCTCGAAGGTCGACAACTCGTCTTCCGTCACAGTCTTGACCATCTGTGCGAGGTAGTGCTCTGCCACAGATTCGAGTCGGTGCATGCGCTCAATCCCTTGAGCCGTATCAGTCTCGGGGCGAGCAAGCTGCCGATAATCTTCGGCGGAGAGGAAATCGAAGCAGGGCTCATATTGCATCTTGTAGCAAATCTGATCAGGCGAAGTGTCTTTTGAGCCTTTGATGTCGTTCGATACTGGCACCAAAGTGATGCCATTGATGTCAATCACCAAATTCGCTGGGTTGCTGGGAGCGGTGGCGAATATGCGGTTGGTCTCAGGGTTGCTTGCGGATTCATTTCCTGACTTGCTACCATAGAGTTGCAGTAGAGTACCAGCACTTATTTCGTGGCACAACGAAACGGAAACCTGTTTGACATGCGACGGCACATGGGTGATTTGCGGCCCAGGCTCGCCGTATCCACGAAGGAGCCACATGACTTGACTACATAGATCAAGTGTGACAGGGTGCACAATGCAGGGGGTCTCATGCCCGTGGGGCATCGCTGCCTTCGTGTCTGGGATACGGAAGGTAGCCATTGCTAGATCATCCCTGCTCACAGAGATATCGGTGAGTCCTTGGAAAAGAGGACCGTAATGGACACCACCGCTGGCGATGTTCTCGTAGAGGAAATTACTGTCAACGGGCAGGTTACATGAATTTCGAATGTTCAATGCTTGCTGGGTGAAGCATGCGGTCTTCTCTAGCTGTTGTCGAGACCCATCGACAGGGTTCACGTCCTTGGCTTCTTGCACCATGATCAAACCATTGCAGTGTTGATCCCATCCACGACCCTCGGCCCATGAGGAGACCTTGAACTCGTGCCAGCCGAGGACGGATTTGCTAGGGGCTTCCGATCGGGATGGTTTCAAGCTGAGCATTGTCTCCACCGATGAATTGTCCGGGATAGTGAGGACACGGTTGATGAAGATATCGCGGATATCGATCTTTCCAGGAGTAACATGGTGCAGCTGTGCGTGTTGTGAGATAGCCTCCATGGCCATGGCCAAAAACCCGGTCATTGGATACACAGTGCGGTCATGTACTTTGTGCTCGCAGATCCAAGGGTGGTCATCTGCACGAATGATGTTCCTCCATCGAGGCTCAAAGTCGACATTCTCCATGGACAATGAACCAAGGATATCACTCCGAGGGAATTGGCGATGGAAATGGTTATCACCTAGCCGTGAGCTAAACCAGTATCTTTCTGAGTGGTTCCATGGATACTTAGGCAGATTTGTCAAAACAGCTGGCTTCCTTGTCGTGGTTTTCAAGTTGGGGAAGTTGATAGCCTGGAAGTTGAGATTCATGCCCTGTGTGAACAGCGAGCCAGCGAGGTTTTGGACAGCCTCGATGCCATCTACCTTGCGTTTCAAGGTGTGAAGATATTGCACATTAGAGTTCGGGGCGTATTTCTGGACAATGTCTTTGACAGGTGTTTGCAGGGCAGGGTGAGGGCCGATTTCGACTAATGTGGTAATTGACGCATTTGCCTGCTCATCCGTGACAAGGCTCTTTATACCCTCAACAAACTCCACACGGGAGACCAGATTATCGACCCAGTAGGAGGCATCCAAAGCGCTTCCTGGGATCAATTTTCCATGAACGGTGGAATGGAATGGGACTTCGGAGTTGCGAGGAGCAATCTTGCCAAGCAGGTATCGATACTCCTGCGACACAATCTTCATATGGTGAGAGTGGTAAGCAACATCGACCTGCAGTCTTCGGGTGAAGATCCCTTCTTTGTCCAAGGCAGTCTGCAGATCGGTAATGACCTCCGCATCTCCAGACAGAGTCACGCTCGACTCGCTGTTCACACAGGCAATAACAGCCTGATTCCCTCGCATAGCATCCAAGATTTGCTGAATGTCTGAGGCGCTGGCTCCAACCGCCAACATACCTCCCTTGATAGACTTGTCATTTGCAATCAGGTTTGCTGCGACACCACGAGAGTACGCCACGCGAACACATTCTTCGAGCTTGAGAATGCCCGCCGCGTAAGCTGCTGCAATCTCTCCACTAGAATGGCCGACCACTGCCTTAGGGCGAATGCCCCAGGATGAGAGCAAATCAACTAATGCTAGCTGGACAGCGGTACAAGCGGGCTGGCTCATGTATGCAGCAGAGATAGAGCTCGCGCAAGGGTCAGTCAAAAGCAGTTCATCTATGTGTGGGACGTTAGTGTCTGAGAATATCGTTGTCGGCAGTGTCGGGATTAAACTGAGACTTACCTATGATTGAGAAAGTAGCACCGAGTGATTTCAAGCATGCATCCACGTCTCGCATAGTCTGCTTGAAAACTGGGTAGGTGCTCAGAAGTTCTTTGCCCATACCGTGCCATTGCGCACCTTGTCCAGTAAACACAAAGCCGATGGTAGGCTCTTTGGAAGAACGAACAGGTACTGCATCGTTACATAGCGATGCAGTCAGCTCCTGACCGAGGACTGCAGAGGATGCCAATCGCCATGGCAGGAACGTTCGTCGCTGCCCGAGGGTATAGGCCATGTTATCCAAAGTGCTGTCGTTGAAAACAACTGGGAAAAGGTCGAGGTACGCTGCAACTGATTTTCCAAGGTGAAGAGCAGCCTGCTTATCATACGCTGAGACGACGTACAACTTGCGCTTGAGAGGATCGTCGTTTGCGGCAAGGTCGCCTTCGTTTCGGGGACCACGCTGTAGAATAACATGGGCATTGGTCCCGCCAAAGCCGAAGTTGTTCACACTCGCGTATGGTTTGCCACGAGGCCATGGCATCAGCTTTTTGGGAACCTAGTTGGTTGTTTAGCTAGGTCCGTTGGTACTTCGAGTCAGTTCTTGACCTCACCTTCATATTCCACTTCTCCATGGGTATCTCACCGTTCGCCTTCTCAAAATTGCAGTTTGGGGGTACGAAGCCTCGCTCAAGTGCCAGGGCCGTTTTGATCACAGAAACGACACCACTTGTTCCTTCTAGATGACCAATGTTTGATTTAACAGACCCAACAAGCAACGGTTGACGCGGGGTGCGTTCTTTTCCAAAGACGGCATTCAATGCAGTAGCTTCGAGGGGATCACCAACTTTGGTTCCTGTGCCGTGAGCCTCGACAAACCCTGTCAAGGACGGGTCGATCCGTGCCTCTTTATAGACTTGACGAATCAATGCCTCCTGTGCCTCGCCATTTGGCATTGCAATACCTCTGGTCCGTCCATCTTGGTTGAGCCCACTGTTGATAATTACAGATCGGATGGCGTCTCCAGCAGCCTCTGCATCCTCGAGAGATTTCAATATAATACATCCAGCACCTTCACCTCGGCCAAAGCCAGTGCCGCGGTGATCAAATGCATATGAGCGACCAGTGTCGGAAAGTAGTCTTTGAGGAAGAACCAGTCAACTTCGGTACGCTATGGGGGACAGCCAGATTCGCTTACCTGGAACGTGTCATCGAGACGAAAGCCTCGGGGGTTATATTCAGGTGACATCCTCCCACGATAGCCATTGAACATTCACCATTCCGAATACTCTGAGAAGCCAGATGCAGAGCAGACAAGCTAGAAGAGCAAGCTGTATCGACCGTAACACTAGGCCCGTTCAAGTCGAAATAATAAGAAATCCGATTCGCCTGCAGTGCCATGGCCGTTCCAGTGGCAGCATACATTGGGATAGCCGTGATATCTCTCGTGTTGTTGATTTCGTAGTCGGAATATGAGCCGCCTGCAAAGACTCCCACCTTTTGGCCGGTGATCTCATGGCTCGGGATTCCAGCGTTCTCGAGCGCTTCATACACACATTCGAGGAAAATGCGCTGTTGCGGGTCCATTGACCGTGCCTCTTGTAGTGTAATGTTGAAGAACGGCGCATCGAATAGGCCAACGTCTTCTTTCAGGAAGTGGGCTCCTACTGGGTTGAAGGAGCCTGGTCGATCGGGATCAGGGTGATAGAAGGAATCAGCGTTGAATCGGGTCTTCGGGATTGGTGACCAGGCACTTCGGCCTCGAGAGCAGAGGTCCCAGAAATCTTCGGCCGTCGAAACGTCTCCTGGGAGGCGGCAAGACATGCCGATGATCGCTGTTCGCTTGGGCACATCGCCGGTGGCATTATCGGGGATATCACTAGGCGTCTGCAAAGATCCATTTGCGGTCTGGGTAACTGGTGTTCCAGTCCCGGAGGGCTGTTGAAGGCGCATCTTTAATAGATTCAGTTCTGGTTTGAAGATGTCGAATTATGTACCTGGCAGTATGATCACCACCAATGTCCAGCAATTGTCCAAAGAAATGAATGTCGATTTGCAAGAAAAGAATGTATAGAATAGTACAATCACGCAGTGTTCAAAACGGGCAATCGGTTCATCCAAGTACTTCATGAAAGGCAGAGAATAAACAACAAGGGCGTCAAGATGGTTTGCACAGTACAAACCACCCTTGCATAACCATCCAAGCGCACGCGTGCCGATCTCTGTCCAGCAGTATCCCGATTGAAACAGGGGATTTAACCTTGAATCAGGCAATGATGGGTCGAGAGAAGGCGTATGTCTGTTTTCCTTGATGACGAATCCAGCAAATCGTAGGCCTATCAATGGAGTCATCCATGCATGAAACCATCCCCTCCAGTCGATTTCCCATTAGTGTTTTCCAGGGCTGTCGATCAGGATCAGTAGATCTGTTCTTGTCTTGCCATGACTTTTCGATGGTTTGGATGGTGCTTCTTTTCCGATGCCCTTGCTAAGGCGAGGGTGCGTACTCCGTACATTCCAAACACAGGGGCAAAACCCGAGACCCTGGCAGATTCCTGATGGCATAATTCGTTATTGATGCCCCCTCGCGTAGAAAGTATCTTTATAGAACCCTCCGAGCGGCATTCTATCTCGCGTTTTTCTCCGAGATATTCCCCAGTCGATTATCACAATGAAGTTTCTCTGCCTCCCAGGAGGCTACTGCAGCGCCAAGGTATGTCAAGCCTTTTGTCACGTGGAATGAATTCATTCAGTTGACATTGACCATACAACAGGCTCTCAAAACACAGCTAGGTAAGCTGCAGCTTGATGCGATGGATGTTGAAAGAGAACTAATAATAGGTCCAGGCCCGTTCTGCGATGCCCTCGCGTCCAATGGAAATGCCAGCTTCCACTACACGCAGGGAACCACTGAGGTGCATGTTCCCCCGGAATTTGCCGGGTTTTTTGGTCCGCCGCCGAACTATACCTTCATCAAGGTCGATGGGCCTGCACCGGTCCATACGAACATGAGCGACTTCCCGAAACGCGACACCCCGGAAGAGGCAATGAAAGCCGCCACACAGGCGGCAGGCGATCCCACATTCTCATGTATCGCTGAGGTCATGGACCGTCTGGTTGGCATTCTTGACAATGACGATGACATTGATGGTGTGATTGGCTTCTCTGAGGGCGCCCAAATTGCCGCATCGCTTATTCTGGAGGAGCAAAGAAGAGAGAGAGAACTTGGTCGGATACCTCGACTTAAATGCGCGATTATGTTCAGCGGATGGCCGCCAGTGCATCCGGTGACTGGCAAGGTTGTTACCGCTGACGACTATAATGAAGAACCGATCACTATTCCCACCTGCCATGTTGTCGGTGCGTCGGATCCGTTCCTTGATGGGTCAATGGCACTGTACAATATGTGCGATCCAGATAGTGCTGATCTGTTTGATCATGGAGCGGGGCATTTGATTCCAAGAAAAAAGCAGACTGCCGACGAGATTGCTTTAGTTGTGCGCGAGATGATCAACTGTGTGGCTTGATTTGTATAGCGATCTATCTAGCAATACACCCGAAAATCCTGTGGAGCTGTATTTACGCTGAAGTTTGGAGACAGGGGCATTTCATGTTCAGCCCATAGATATGGATATAGCAATCACCACCTCGCTTTTGGGTCTACTCCAACAGCGGCCTTGTCTCCGCTTCTTGTTCCTCCGCCACTTCAGTCTGACCCTCTGTCCGACTCCATGGAGGAAAGAGACCAACAAGGGACCCAACACCCAAAGTCCGACCTCGCCACCTAGAGAATCCCTGTTCTTCCTCGTCAGGCCGCTCATACTCTGCCTCCTTCCAACGCCACCAGGCCCGGCGCACAAGCCACACCAATCCAACCCCTACCACGCCCAACACCAGTACCGCAAGCACAGCACCCATTACTGACAGAACAGTCAAGGTACTAGCGTGACACCCAAACGGCAGAGCTCTTAGCTCCCATCTCTCCTTGGAGCCAAGGGGGCAGATATTTTCTGAGCCGAAAGGCGCAAATATTGGAACCCGGGATGGGTTAGGCACACAGGTCGAGGACTATAGCATGACAATCAATAGTCAGCTTCCTCCAGCACGGAGCGGAAGATTGTAGGCCTGATGGTGCTGATCAAGTCAAAACAAAAGCAATAATGGGGCCCGTGATAGGTGTGGCCTTGAAACCCCTCTCCCCATTCTGGTGGGGACGCAAGGGAGGAGTATGTGAAACACAAACAGTGGGTTGATCGGGAAGGAGGGAGAATCAAACTTGACTACAAGAAGGTCATAAAAGAACGTGACCTACTATAGCACACCAGCTGCAGGCAACATCACCAGTCAAGCAGCTCGAACACGACTGTCGACCCCAGCAAACACGGAAGAGCGGATCGCTGGGGTCAGGGTTGTTCAAGAAGCTGGAGTTTCCATCGCCCATCACTATCTAGGTATAATACCATGTAAGGTGCTCGTGATATGTCCTTGTTCCTGTCAATAGTCAGATTTCCTCCCTTGCAGAGATAACGGTAATTGTACTTTGCCTCTGCTAAGTTGCGGGGCCAATGTATACCCGTCACAGTGAAATAGAAGAATTGCGATCCCTTTTACTTTGTATCTTTATTTGTAGCCCAAACATGAGACATCGAATTGGATCGAAATTCCCGCTACATTTTTGGGCTGCGGTACTTTTGCCAGCCAATGACAACATCCTCGGGGCATCTACAACACACGCAAGAATACAAGTTCCACTTGAAGATCATCTCGGTCACTGTGGTAGTACAGGTTTATATTATATAGACTCGATGATCGCATGACACCGTGGCGTGAAAACGTGATAAATTTATCCTGGTAAATCGCGCTGAAAACGAACTGGCCCAGAAATACCAAAATCCACTGCCGCTCGTCGACATATGCATAACAAAAGGGAAAAAGGATATGTTTTTGATCAAGGAAATACGGTAGATCGGGTTCAGACCACACGCTTGACCTGCATATTCAACATTAGCATCTCATCTTCCGGTGTCTCATCAAAGCAACCCACGTACCTCGAAGAATCTCTTGAGCCACCACACCTGGAAAACACCCTCACCGATAACCACCATAAGTTGGAACATACTCCACCATTTCACGCGGCCGTTGGTGCTCTCTGCGGTATTGCGGTGTACTCGCTCACGCACGACAATGTACGACTGCTCATCCTTCACCTGCGCCAAAGCCTCGCTGAGTTTGCGAACTAGATAGTACCAGATGATCAGTCACAATATTCTATATTCTTCCTCTTCCGTCGGCTATTTCCCACGCTTACCTTCGACCTCGAGGGGATCCTGCGCCATCTCGTGCTCGGGCACGTAGACAATTCCGTGCACATTGAAGGAGACCTCCTTGGAGTTGGAGGTCCAACCCTCGTTGCTGAAGCAGTAGTTGTATTTGCCGTCCGCCTGTGCGGTGAAGGAGTAGTCGTCCGAAGCAACGGCTTGCTTGAAGTACTGGCGGTTTCTCAGGGGATCCTCGACCTGCCGCGACCGAGCGTTAGCGTTTGTGTTCTCAGTTTTAATCGTTCCTCGGCGCCCGATGTAGCAGCTGGGCTAGCTCAAAAAGCGTTGGCCTCTCCGTTCCTGGATCCGATATATGCCAGTCCCACCATCGGAGCAGAAGGGGACTCCCGAGCAACACCCAAACCACCCAACACCAAGACCGGGACCGGGATAGTTCATACCCAGAAATCAACCTCGAGGTTTCCGCTCCCTCCGAATTCGCGATCTCCGACCTGGAAAGTCACACTCATGACATCGTCGCGGTGCAGTGACTCGTGGAAGCATTCTCGTGAGTGAGCCTTGAGCTGAATGGTGTGTGCGGTCGCGGCGGTGATCCACCCTAGCGCAGTGACCAGGATGGTGCTTGTTGAGAATCGCATGGTGAGAGGATTCGGCTGACTCCGATGAGTCTGGGGGAATTGACAGTGAGTGGTGGTGATGTTAGTTGGTTGCCAACGCGCAAGGTGTCAATTAGCGGCGCTCGGACCACTTTCAGTAAACACCGCTCCGCCTTGAGATTCGGTCTTGGCTAGATGTATACAGTTGGACTGAGATTATAATATGGAAAATTGGTCTTTCTGTGTCTATATATTAGGTTCGTTAGGTCTTCAAGTCTCCTGTGGAGTTGACATTTATTTCAATGGTCATTTACATTTTGGCGAGTTACACCGCTACATATATGTAATTGCACTGTGCATCCATGGATGTACTACAAACAGGGCCAGCCTTAGATGTATACACATACAACTACAAAGGAGGTTGCTACTTCAACGGGAATACTAATGTAACAGTAACGTAAGGAGGAGTCTGAATTTATTTGGAAATTTGTAAACACCCGAACAGTAATAAGCTACAAAAGCAACGGAGAAGTGTGTATCAACAAGCTACGTGCGACAACATCACAGAAAGGGGGGTGTATGGATAATATAGAACAATCAGAAAGTAAAGAATGACAAAGATTGACTATTAGTATGTTTAGAAGGGTAGTAAATGATAGGACATGAAAAAAGTAAAGTAGGATATTCAATGTACAAGTTCTTCGGGGGGAGATGGGGGTAAAAAAGCAAGCGAAATAACGGTGTGGTATCAAATCCGAAAACGCAAACATTGATCAACGGCCACAAAGCCGGAAGATAGGTATGTATGTCGAAAGGGGGAATATGGATGTAACGAGAGGAGAGAAATCTGCGAAATTGGTGCTGGCACCAAACGCAGAGATAGCAGTGAACGATAAAAGCAAAGATATCACAGATCGATAATTCGTGCTGTAATGGTGAAAAGAGGAGAAAAAGCAAAGAAAGACCGAGATGAGATAGAAAGTTCCAAAACAATCTATGGATAATGATCAAGGGCAGCGCAATCACTCTTCCTCGGTGGAGGGTTCGTCGGAAGAGGAGACGTCAACGTCAGCATCGG